CTGATGAATGTGGATAGTCCTTTCTATTCCTATTTAGTGATTATCCAAGATCTACTGTGTCTGTACTATTAGAATTTTATTCAGATCTTTAACTTCTGTCTTATTTTTTGTTAGTTTTTTCCAAGTCTGAAAGGGGATCATTGAGGTCCCCAATTCTTAGGGTTTTTCTATTTCTCCATGTAATTCAATTAAATTTTCTCTCGTATACTTAGATCCTGTACTGTTTGGTGCCTGTATATTAAATGTTGATATTATTTAATTCTCTCTGGTATATTTAAGCATAATGTAATTTTGTTGTTTATCTTTTAACTATGTTCATTTTTATTCCTTGTCTGAGATCATGATTATTATTTTGATTTCATCTGAAGCACAATAAAATATACTCTAACTTGTCATTTTAATTCAGTCTTTGTTTCCAATGTATTTATTATAAACAACATATATTGTTAGATTCTGCTTTCTTATCCATTCTACTATCTTCTTATATTTTATCATTGAGTTTATCCCATTCATATTCATGACTGTGACTGTGAATTTCCCCTAATATGTTTTCCCTGTTGCCCTTGTGTTCTGTTTTTGAAGAAGGTAATAAACAAAAATAGTGTGATCAGCACAGGTAATTTCTAAACTGATGTGCTCCTATTCCACTGTTCCTCCTCTGTTCATTTAGTTCAGAGCTTGCCCACAGGTTTTTTTTTTTTTTAAGATAAGTTTTAATTTATATTTTATATAAATATTTATTTTAATTTAATTTATGTTTATATTTTATATCACTATAATATCCCATGTAACCTCTCTCCCCCAACCATCCCATATGACAAATAGTATTTTTTTTTTTTTAGAAAGGGAGAAAAAGTCAACACAACTAATAAATACATCAAAAAAGTCTGAAAATGTGCATCGTGTAGCATCTATTCCCCACTTGACAAAGGGGTAGGTTGAGGTGTATAATTTTGTTGTGTTTACTTTTGATTTTTTGATGAATCGTTTCGATTTATAGTTTTGTAGTTACTGTGTACAGTACATTATTTTATTGGCTCTGCTTACTTTACTCTGCATCAGTTCATGTAGATATTTCCATTCTTGTACAGCCCAGTAATATTCCATGATTTGTGTAGCCATTCCCTAGTTAATACTGCCTATTGATTCTTGTATTTTCTTTCTTTAAAAAAAAATTCCCTTTTATGATCCTTGCTTCAAAATTAAACGTTTGTTTTTCTTGGGGCTATTCACTTCCTTACTATCCTCCCTCTTAAATTACCCCCTTTCTTTCTCCCTCTTCCTACCTATTTCTCTGTTGAATTTATTGTATTTCTACACAAACTTTGTATATGTTCAACCCTCCTTTGTTTGTACGCTCTTCTCATGCACTCCATTTATATGGACTAGCAGGTTTCCCTTCTATCTTCCTTGTTTCTTCTCTAGTGTCTTTTTTCCCTTCCTTTTCTTTTGTCTTAAAACCATTAAAACAAATGAAAACTTCCTCTAGGCCTTGTGTTTGTCTTTATTAAGTACCTCTTTTACGCAGAAATGCCAAGTTCTAAAGGTATACTTGTCTCTTCTCCCCTTATGTAAATAGCTTATCCACTTGTAGTCCCTTTTGATTGCTCAGATGCTGTTGCCCTTCTTGGTTTGTGTTTATTCTTGTGTTTGTATTTAAGATTATGCTCTCTTCTGCAAGGTACACGTGATTCATGGTTGTAAGCGAAAAGCTTATGTGCTAAAACCCTGGGATATAAAAAGAGGCAAAAGATGCCTCAGTTTTTGGTTTGAGATTTGGGGCCAAGGTCAGATCCCAATCATCTAGTCCCTCTGCCTCCCTTAACCCTTTTAGTTGTGGTAATCAGGCCTTGTTTGCTCCTATCCTTACAAGTGATGCTGATGCCTCTTGCAGGACCTTTCTCAGGCTTCCTGAGCTAGCTTAGGGTGGCTCAGTGGATAGAGCCTTGGGCTTGGAATCACAAAGACCTGAGTTCAAATTTAATGTCAGACACTTAACTAGTTCTGTGACCCTTGCGCATGTCACTTAACCTCTCTTTAACTCAGTTCCCTCATCTATAAAATGAAGAAAATAACAGCTTCTACCTCATAGGATTTTTCTAAAGAATCAAGTGAGGTCATATTTGTAAAGCGCTTAGTACAGTGCTTGGTATGTAGTAGGCACTATATAAATGTAGTAGTATTAATAATTTTATTAATTATATTATTAATAATTATTGTTGCTTTCTTCTTGTGCAGACTTATGTTGGATGGAAGAGCTTACTATTGTTTCTCTTTGGGAGTCTTGATCATTTATTTAATATGATGGAGTGTGTGTGTATGTGTATATGTATGCGTGCATGCATGCATGTATGTATGTGTCAGGGAGCTGGGCCTTAGGTACTTTTTAGAATTATAGAATGTTATCATGGGAAAGGATTTCAAAGGTCATTTTAGCTATTTTTTATGTTTTGTAGATGCTGAAACAAAAATGTGTTTGTATTAACTTCAATCATCACTTCTTAAGCTCCTTCACTTAGTGTTGGAAGACTGTTATGTTCATGCAGTTTTTTGGAGATTCCTAAATGGTCTTAGTAGAAGTTGTTAATATTTTTTTTTTCCAGTTTCAGTATATGAACTCAATATATGCTGTTCTGTTTAATAGTACTTATTTTTTTAAAATAGTAGCAAGCAAATTTTATTTCCTTTTATTATATTTTGTTTTTATGTCACCTTTATTTTGTGTTTTATATATCTTTTCCCCACCCAAATAATAATAAGGAATAAAGAAGAGGAAACAAAAAAGCAGTTCAGCAGAACTAACAAATAGTTCTGAGCATGTGCGGTGTTCCACATCTGTAATCCTCTAATTTGCAAAGTAGAGGGTTCAAGTTTTATTATCATTACAGAGTGTTTGATTTCTATTTTAATTGTTGTTCTTTCCGTATTTAGTTTTCCTGGTTTTGTTTACTTCACTTTATTTCAGTTCATATAAGTTTTCACTTTCGTTGTTCCTTATGACAGGAATATTCCTTCACATTTACAATTCACCACGATTTGTTTAGTTTCCGTTGATAGCATCTATTTTGTTTTTAGTTCTTTGCTACTACAAGAAGTGATTGTGTGAATATTTTATCGTCCATTAGGCTTAAGTTTGACTTGTTCAGAGTATATTTGTCTAGGAGTAGGATTTCTGGGACATTTTAGTCACTTTCTTGGTATAATTCCCAAATGATTTCTAGAATAGTTGGATGAATTTGCACTAACAGGATATTCATGTCCGTATCTTTCAGTAACCTTTTCAACTTAGACTCTTATTTCTTAGCATTTTTGCTAATTTTCTGGAAATAAGATAAAACCTTAGAGTTATTTTAATTTGTATTCCTCCTATTAGTGTTTTGTAATAATCTTATGTTACAATCTTATATTCTTCTTTTGAGAGTGATTTCTTCATATCCTTTGATCATTTATCCACTGAGGAATGGCTTTTTGTCTTGTACGTTCATGTTCTTCCATCAGATGCTTATGAAATTTTTATGCAAAAATTTTTTTCCTTAATATTTACTTTTTTTATTCTGGTTGCACTAATTTTTGTTAATGTAAAAGGAAATTTTACTTAAATAAAATTTATCTTATTTGTTTAGTACTTTACACCTCTAAAAGTGCTTTTATATATGTTCTCACTTTCTTACAGCTTTTTTGTGAGTCAGGTAGTACAAAGGATATGCCTTGGCCCATTTCATACAATTAATAAGTGAAGGAGACAGGATTCCAACCAGTTAATTCCTGCAGAGAAAGTGTGGTGTTGCAGGTTGATTTGGAGTAAGAAAGACTTGGGTTTGAATACCATTTCAGATAGCTGTGTGACTATGTCCAAGCCTTGTATTCTCTTTGAACCTCATTTCCTCATCTGTAAAAGAGACATAAAAGCACCTGCTTCTTGGCATTGTTAGGGGAATTAAATGAGATAATTTTGAGAAGTGCTTTGCACAGTCTTAAGATGTTACATAAATATGAGCTGTTACATATTTTCTTATTACTTTAAGTAGTGTCAGACTTCTTTCTGTAGGAGATATGAAGACAAAAACAAGACTTGTGTTCTTTGATCCAAAGAAGAAAATGTTATATTTTCTACTTTATACAACTGATCTCACTTTGTGTGAGTATTTTGTGGTTGAATGATCTAATGAGGAAAGTGAGCCCTTAAGTCAGGTAACATCAGCTTGGTGCTGCTGTGCTTGGTGTTGTTGGAGAAGTTACTTAACCACTTGCTGTTTGTTTCTTTATAAAATTATGACTCAGGCCATTTCTTCAGAGTAACCCACTGAAGTAGGGAAGGACGTAAAAAGATTTTTTTCCCTTCTTACAGAGATAATGACATAGAGACTCAGGTGAAGTACTTTTGTAACAAAGTTGTACAACTGGTGTCAGGGGTGATAAGAACGTCCTGGCTTCTTAGAGAACTGTATGAAATTGTATATAAAAACATTTAGTTTCTATTTAAGGAAAATGTAAAATTTAAGGTGGTATTAGTGTTTTTTTAAAGGGTAGGTTTATGACTTGGAATTTCATATTACATGAAGTCTTCCAAACTTCTTCACATTTTGACTTTCTGCTCTGCATTGGGCAAAATGAATTGTTGAAGTTAGTTATACAATTTAGTAATAACTTTGAACTTTTTATCTAAATATTAATATATGTCTTCAACTAGGAAGAGGTGAGACTTTTTAATGAGCTTTTTAATGTTTTGTGTGTGTGTGTTTAAGGTCTCTCAACCAAACTATAGATCTTATCACAGTCATATTTAGTAGTAGAGAGAGTTCTGATCTTTGTTTAATATTTAAGACCCAAGTTTCACTTCATACAAGTATCAGTTATGGTATCATTTTGGATTTCTTACTTTTCAAGTCATGGTATTAACCATGACTTGTAGCTATTAACCATATTCCTTTTTCCCTTAGGTTTTTATTCACTATTTGGGCCAGAACAAAAGATCACGTTTTTTTTATTGCTTCCTGCAGGCCAGCCCTCCAGAACTCTATATTGAAAGATTTAACTTAGCACTTGGACAATATATGGGAGCATTGCAGAGCATTGTGCCTCTTTTCATATATATGGTAAGTTTATGCTATTAAAAAAAAACAAAAAGACCCTGAGGAGAATATATGAACTAGAACCATGATCTGATCAATGAGAGAATGCCCTTTGAGATATTTGTGGCATTTTTCTGCCTTTTTTTCCCTTTTTTGAAATTGCCATAAAGTAACAGCTCCAGGATTTAGGATAAGTCATTTAATAATCTGGTAACAACACTTGCATATCTTTAAAAATCTTGATTTCTCTTCTCACGGAGCTTAGAGTTTAGTTAAAGAGGTAAGACTTGTAGAGTAACTAATAATACCAGACAGCACATGCCAAGTATCAAATGAGGGGTATAGTCACACTGCTAAGGAGAGTTTATATATTGTTTCTGTCCCATTGGTTGATGGGTCATAGTTGCATTTTTTCTTGGTCATGTTTTGTAATCTTTTGGGATGTCAGACCTTGCTCATGTAAGTTACAATTGTCAGCATGATTTGGGCAGTGAGATATTTTAATCAACCAACTACTCAGACAAATAAGGAATATATATGCCGCATGTATAATATAAATTTTAAAAACTGCTGCAGAAGATATAACCTTTTTTTAGTGTAAGTACTCATTCCATCAATTTAGATTACAGCTGTTGTTGCTGGTTATTTACATTATGAATTTGTATTCATACTAAATAAAATATACAAACATAAGTTATTGTACTATAAGCAAAAATGATGACTAATAGGGGCTTTGTTAGTAGAATGCTGAATGAACTAGGGTTGTATTTCCTTTGTAAGAAGGTGGGTCAAATAAAACCTTCAAAAAAATCCTCTTTTTGCAGTCCATAAAGATGCATTTATTCATTCCTGTTAAAGAAATGACATTGACTGTTTCTTTGTGAATGATTGGATAGCATTTATCCCTTAGTGAAATGTCAGCTTTGGGGGGAAAAGGCATATCCCCTGTTTTTATTTTTTAAGTACCTCATACGCACCCTATTTAGGAGAAGTTAGTTATTTTGGGATGTAGTGATATTGGCAGTTAAAGTAATAACTGTATTGATATGGACATACTTTTGTTTCCATAAATTAAACTCCTTGTCTCTTGATATTTCCACTATAGAGAGTGTAGATCAGAAGTAGATTGTAGGGATAGAGGGTATTTCTGGGTGAGAGAATTGGGTGTGAGTAGATGTTAAAACTTAATTTCAAAGTCTGTTGTGTACATAAATTGACAGTGGCTAGGTGTTAAGAATAAAATATGGTAACTTATAGCTCTAAGATCTATTTGTGATCTAAGGTCATACAATTAATATCTTGTTTTTTAAAACTGAATAATAAGTATTAAACTTATTGTCTCATTGTGATGAAGAAAGACAGTGTCTGTATGTTAGTCAGGATGTGTTATATAATACTTCATTGTACCTATGTTTTCATTGATGTGGGTAATCCTATATTTTAGAAGAGCAAATATTGTAAACATTTAAGTTATTCTATGGAATACAGTATTTTTTGTTTAAGGTCCCACATGTACTCACTAGTTTTGTAACTTTGTATTACAATCAGAACAGTGTATTCCCACTACTGAGTAGTAACATCAAAGTTTAGTACCTTAAAACTTAAAATTTTAATTGTGTAATAACCCAGAAGTGGAAATAAATCATATATATTGAAAAGACTTTCCTTTGGGACTTCTGTAAGCACAATGGTTTCATTTCTTATTGCTATACACATTAGTATCACAGACACCTTGTTTACTTCAAGGGATGAAAATGCGCATACAGCTAAATAATGTTTTCTTTAAATTTTTATTTGAACAACAATGGAAAGGTTTTATTTAAGATGTTTATTAATTTGACTGATATGGAAATGTTTTACATAATTGCACACATATAACATATCCGATTGCTTACTGTCTCAGGGAGAAGGGAGGGCAAGGAAGGAGGGAGGGAGGAATTGGATTTGGAACTCAAAACTTTAAATAAAAACGTTAAAAAATTGGAAAAAAAGATTTGCATTAATTCAACTTTAAAAATCAACCTTAAACTATGCTTCACTAACTTTGTATTTCTGGATATTAAATTTTCATCTGAAACAAAGCCATTGTAATTTTTTTTTGTTTAAAAAATTTCTTTGTTTTAATTTGCTAAGATATGCCCTTTACTTTCCTACACCAACTTCACCCCCATCCCCCAATTGAGCACACAAGAAAAACAAAACTCATTACAAACACATAGAGTCAATCAAAACAGATTTCCACATTGGCCATAACACCAAAAAAAAAAAAAATTCTCATTCTGCATTTGTATCCTTTCGCTGTTAGCTGGAAATGGGTAACATTTTTCATCATTAAATCTTATTATGCTGATAAGAGTTCAACGCTACTATTCCATCACATTTATGTATATCATAACTTGTTCAACTATTCTGCAGTTTATGTGCATCCCCTCAAATTCCCATTCTTTGCTACTTCAGAAAGAACTGTCAGTATTTTTATACATCCCTTAGAATTTGTTTTGCTTAGTAGTAATTGTTCCCCTTCATCTGCCCTCCTTCTAAACCTCCCTCCCACCTTCTCTCTTTTCTCTCCTGTTCATCTATTGCGTAAAATGTATTTCTGTGCCATCTGTATGTGATTGTACGGTTGCATGTAAGTATGTATTCTTTCTTCTTTTGAGCAATTCAAGAGAGTAAGGTTCAAGTGTTAGCTGTTTTCCTTACTTCCTTCTCCTTGTTTGTCTAGATGTCTACTTGTATACCCTAATTATGTGAGATAATTTTCCCTAACCTTCCTTTCTCCTTCTCCCCAGTGTATTCCTCTTTACCTTTCTTTCTATTCTTTTCTTAATGTCATCAAGACAAAACAGAACCCCTCTCAGGCCTTGTCTAATTGGACTTCCTGTCTGAACTCTGGTGATGATAGGGTTCAAAGGGGACATGTGTTATCATGTCCCCATATTTGAATGTAAGCAGTTTATTCTCATTTAGTCCTTTATCATTGTTCATTCATATTACCTTTTTAAAGCCACTGTAATTTTAAGTCGAGAGAGGTATGTATGTGAGATTGATTTATTTGACTTATTTTAGGGAATCATACAGTGTAGAGTTGGAAAGGACATTATAGCTCATCTGTTTCAACCCCATCATTTTGTAGGTGAGAACGTAGAGGCCTAGAGAAAGGAACTGTCTTACCCAAGTTGGTGGCAGGCTAGAATTGGAACCTATGTCTTCTAATGCCAAAGCTGGAGTTCCTCCTGTTCCAGTCTGCCTCTTACATACTCAGTAATAAGATACTTTTTAGTGGTGTTTGTATAGTGTAAAGTAGGTGAGTTCCTGAACTATGAATAAAAACATAGAATGAACACAGATAATGTATAATGTTTTGTCCTTTTATTAATGAAACTCATTAACAGGTATGCATTCTGACATGTTACCTGATGTATGTCACCTAGTTAAGTATAATTCAGTATTCTTTCGGAGTCAGTCAGTAAACATTTATTAAGCACTTACTTTGTTCTAGGCGCTGTGCTAAGTGTTAAGAATAAAAGAAAAGCAAAAGGCAGTCCCTGATCTCAAGAAGCTCATAGTCAGAATAATGTCCCAAGCCCAGAGAGGAGAGAATATCAAGGAAAAGAGGGTATTTGATAGTGTTAAAGGCTGCAGAAAGGTCAAGAAGGATGAAAACTGAGAAAAAGCCGTCAGATTTGGCTGTTAAGAGATCGTTAGTAAGTTTGGAGAAAGTTGTTTCAGCTAAATGATGAGGTCAGAAGCCAAACTGTAAAGAAGAGAGTGAGAGCAGAACAAGTGGAGGCACCTGTTATAAACAACCTTCTCAGTGAGTTTGGCCACAAAAGGAAGGAGTTGGAAGGGACAGTAGCTCATTGAGAAGGATGGATCAAGGGAAGGGAAAGAGGCATGTTTGTAGGCAGTAGGAAAGCAGCCAGTAAACAGGAAAAGATTGAAGATAAATGAGATTGGTAATGATAGGGCAGTCTTAAGAGAAGAAGGGATGGAATGGGGTCACTTGTGAATAAAAGGGTTTTACCTTGGAGGCAAGGATAAGAGTAGCCACCTCAGGTGAGATGAGGGTGAAGGCACCTGTTGGTTGAGGAGGGGAGACGAAAAAGCTATCAGCAAATGATCTCAATTTTTTCAGTGAAATACGAGAGAAGTTTCTCAGCTCAGGTTGGGAAGAGGGAACCATGGGAGGTTTGAGGAGAGAGGAAAAGGTTTAGAAAACCTTGCTGTGGTGAGTGGGATGGTGAGTCAGGGAGGTGTCTGCCTGGTGAAAGTTAGGTCCAATTGAGATTATGTAACAGATTTGTTGTGGACCTATGTAGCATAGTTTTATAATTTTCTTCACTTTTGTTCAACAGCAGTAGGAGCAAAGGCAATGATGGTGAAAGTAATTCAAGTCTAAGGGTGGGTGAGGCCAGATTGATGATACTATAAGGTGGAAAGGGACTTGAGAGGAGAGGACCGTGTACTATGGATTTGGTTCTCCAGAATGTCAAAATGGAAATGGGGAAAAAATGTAGCCTGTGCAGGGGTGGTAGCCTGGAAAAGAAAGAAGTAAAGGATAGAGGGTTTGGAGGTCATAGTGAGGACGAAGAGCAGAGTTTGGGGTTGCAAGGTGGAAGGAAACAATGAATGAATGAAATGAATGAAAACAATGAAACAGATAAGGGAATTTCAGAATTCAGAAACATTGCAGTTTTGTATGATGGTAAAATCAAGAGTATGACCAGCTCTTTTTGTAGCTGTGAGTGAGTGAGAAATGAACAACTTGTGCTACATGATTAAACTGTAATGATATTGGACCAAGGAGCTATCAGAATGGTCCCATTTAAGAATGGTAAGAGAGAAAAATAGAGTGATAGAGGAGAAGGGAAAGACTAGTGAATTCAGGGATTGGCTAAATATGTAAATCTCAACTTTTCTACTTAGTGTCTTTGTGGTTTAGACAAGTCACTTGACTTCACTAGACCTTAGTTTCCTCATCTGTGAAATGAAGATATGGACTAGGTTTTTTTTTTTGTTGAGATTCTTTTGAGCTATAAATCCTTTGAAGCTGTGATAATGTTTAATTAAGTTCAATGTCTTTTATTAGTACTTAGTAGCAAACTGTAGCATACACTAACTATGGTGTAATTGCCAGTATTCTTTAGAGAAGAATGTGTTACTCTTTGTTCTGTGGGAGAAAATTCTGTACACATGAACCTGCCAGAAACAATTATAATCTGAACTTTTTCTGCAAACCCAAGAGGTGACAGTTTCCCCATTTTGGAGTTTACAATTTTAAATATTCTCAAACTATAGACAGACTTCACAGTCAAGATTAAGCAAGATAAGTCTTAAGAACAATATTAAATTAAAACATTTTTGTTTTCATAAAACAGTCCAGTCCATCTTTTTGATTACTCACCCTAAGAGTTTTCCTTTGCTCCTCACCAAAGATAATCTAGAGATACATGCATGAACTGAAGAATCAAAAGATTTCTCCTTAATCTAATCATTACTCTAATTTGGTCAATGCATGGAGAGAGAGGGTGCTGCTCTTACATGGATTAGTCAAGGACTTCTTGCTTTTGTGGAGTCACCCTTAAAAAAGATGAGCACAGTTTTTCCTAGAAGTTTGATTTAAGTATTGATAAGGTTCCTTAATTCCAATTGGGACCAAAGATTTTAGACTAATCTATTATTTTGTAATGAGTAACCTGATGAGATGAGAGGGAGATAGAGAACAGAATGGGGGAGAGAGAAAAGAATCCACTCTATATCTTTAGTTCTTTTTCTAAACTTTGTTGTAACAACAAAGTTAAATTAGTTGAGACAAGCCCAACTCAGGTACTGCGCTAACCTCTTGCATCCCTGGCTACCTTTTCTCCTGTAATGCAGTTTTTTACCTGAGAATGGTTGGAAAGTTACAACTTCTTCCCTTGTTTTCTCCTCTAATGAGAAGTCTTCATTTCTACTTGCCTTGGTTCTATGAAATTGACTGAAACAGAATCAACAACATTATTTAACTTAAAAATTTGTGGGTTTTAGCATTATTTCATAATGTTGGACAAAGTTATACCTTTAAAACTAAAGATGACTTTGATATTTGTGGTGGAAACTATTTTTAGAGATTTGGCACCCCTTACTTAAAAGTAAAAATGTTATTAGTATTTTAGTGAATCACTTCATTGGAATGATTATTTGCTTATAAATATTATTTTTAATCTTATTTTCCAGAATAAATTTTACATAGAAACCAAGCTTAACAGAGACTTAAAAGATGATCTTATAAAGCTGTTTACGGAACATGTTGCAGAAAAGCACATTTACAGCCTAATGCGTAAGTAAATATATTTAACTTTTGAAAGTTGAGGAGGCTTTAAAATTATTCTGGCAAAGGTTTCTGGTTAAAACTAATCTTTTGGAAGAATCATGCTTTCATGATTATATCATTTACTTTATTTCTGAAAAATGATAATACTTTGGCATTAAAGGCACAAAAAGAATAGTCTAGTATTTAATTGCCTTGGAACTGTATAAAACTAAGTCATCTAAATTAGCATATAACATGAAAATGCGTAGTGGATTTTATTTTAAAATATCTGGGCATATTTTTCATTTTTTGTCTGATTTAATACCCAGATTCCTTGACTTTAATGGTCAGTTCATAAACATTCTATTTAGCTTTTCATTTTATATTCCATTTTATTTCATATAGCCTCATCACTCATTAAGAAATTTCTTTAATATTAAATGGTGATATAAACATACTGTGAAGAGAGATGAAAGGAGATAATTTTAGAAAGCAATGTGTTAGTTTTTCATGGCATTTGGGTAATAGCTGACTTTTATATAGCACTTGAAATCTTTTATCTCATTTACAAAAGCCTTGTGAAATAGTACAGATATTATCTCCATTTTTGCAGATGAGAAAACTGAAGCAAAGAGGTTAGGTGACATACTAAAAATCACACAGTAAAAAAATGTTAGGGGAAGGAATTTTATATCTGGTAAATAACTATCTCCCTCAGCTTCTTTTACACAGTATGTATTTGGATGAATAAATGTTTGAATGAATCCATTGTATAAAGCTAAATGGTGAGAGCGTATGGGGAGTCACTGACATCTTTGAAGGTTGTATATAACTAGCATCCAAAAAACGATTTGTGAAGGTAAAAGGTAGAAGTTATCTGTATCTGTTATTTAATTCCTGAGAAATCATAGAATCATTTTAGATGCCTAGGATTTTAAAAGAATACCATTTGTTTTTTAAAAAGTTGGGCAGATGTTTTAAAACATTTCACCTGGTAGTATTCTGGCTATTAATAAGTATTCCCTAGACTGTTGATATTTTCATGTTTCTTCCATTGTGAAATGGTATATATAGCATGTTGAAAATCTACACTGCCAAAATCCTACAGAGAAATTATACCAGCTGACAAAAAACTTATTTATTTTATAATTATCTGTTTGTATTTGGCAGTAATTAGGAAAACAATTTCATTTTGCTCATTTATCACAGCTCTAGGGAATTTCAGAGATTTTAGAAGTTTGGGTCAAATGAATAAAAGGTTTCTTTGCTTATTATCATTTACATGATGCTAAAGAGATGAAAAAAAAAAAGGCTTCTGGTCTTCCAAAAACGGATGGGCATTAATTGAATGTTCCCACTTATTCAAGGGGGAATATAGCAAGTAACTCCATGAATATTTTTAAATCCCATGAATGTATAGCAACTACTGGTCAGCTATGGGATAGGACATTTTGTTATATTTTACTTTACTCTACTTTGTTCTATCTACTTTACTCTAAAACATCTCTCTGCTCCTTGCACTTCACCTAGTGAATGTAGGGAGTGCCAGAGTGTTTACTTTCCACCACCTACCTATACATTTTAAATATTCTTTTCCCAGTGTTAAGGAAGATGTTACTCTTCTATTGACTACCTATTTTGTGTAGTTTTGTTATTTGAATACTTGTGAAGGCATAATTGCTATTTTTAGGTTGGGGAGGAGGGGTTGGTCAGATTTCTTACTATGATGTTTTCAGTGAAAACATGAATCTTTTCATAAATATGTGGGTTTTCTGAGAAGACTCATGTCACCTAATATAGGGCATAAAAGTTTTATAGAAATGGTCTGTTCTCTAGGAGTGATCATTCCTTTGGTCTGCAGAATTACATTGCATTTTTTACTCCATCAAAGCACTCAGGAAGGAACAGGTGACCAGACTCTCAAATTCAAAGTCTTATAAAGAATCTAAACAATAGTGATGTAGTTATATTTGTTAACTTTTCTAACAAAAAAACAAAACCTCATGGTTTATGGACCTAAACTCCCGTTTATCAGTTTCCTTCTACCAACTCATCTATAAACCTTTCTTTAGAAATGGAAATAGAAAACATTTCCCAGTCCTTCCACACTCACTCAGCTGGTAAACACCCTCTTTTCTCCAGTGAAAAGTGGTATCATATCAACTGAATAGCACCTTGTCTTGTAGCATGACCTGGTTGTTGAAGGCATATTGCCACGTGCAGAAAATATTTGTGACCAAAAGCCAAAGCTGAACCTGTGATTTGTAGAGAGGAATTATTTCATGAATAATTCCAAACACTGACCTTTGATTGCAGGTATAAAAATATTCTGTTTAAGTACCTGTAGTACAATTATTTGAATATCTGACTGAGTAGAATAAAACATACCTTCTTCTGGCTGATATAAAAATTGTATTCTCATTTGAAAGAAAATAGTTATTTTGGTTTCAACTAGAAATACGCTTTAGGAAGTAAGGTCATTATAAGCCCATTATAAGCCAAAAGAAGCTACATTGTGATAACTCTTTGAGGAATAAGCAAGCTAAGCTAAAGATGCAAAGGTTTTGATTAGCTAATTTCAGAAAGTGTCTCAGGATATGAGTGTTTTGATTTGCAAAGAGATCGATGTCAGTTTGCACATCAAAATTAGCAAAATAGTTTGCTTGAAGAGAAATATAAGATGGGAAGGGAGAGAGAGGCGGGGAGGGAGGGAGAGACAGACAAAAAGAGAATTGGAATCTTTTTTAAATAGGTTTGTCCTCAAAGAGGAATAATATGTTAGACAAAAATTCACAGTTCCTCTTTGGTTATCATCAGTGATAATAACAGCTTCAATTATGTTAACTTTAAGTATAAGTTACGTAAGCATTGAGGCTACAAAGTACTTTCATATTTACTCCATTTTATTATAACATCATGAGCTTATAATTACAAAGTGCTTCCTCTCTCCCACTTTCCTGTCACTTTAGAAAGTAAGTAATACGATTAGTATTCCCATTTTATAAATATGAGAACTGAGGTCAGATGACTTAGCTTACAGAGGTTATATACATGCTTAAGTGTTGGAGCCAGCTTTTCAATCTAGGTTCTTTGACTCCAGTACTCTTTCCTACACCACACTGTGATCTTTTTTTTACTAAAAAAAAAAACAAAAAAACTCTCTCTCCATATATACATATATATATGTATCTCACTCTTATGTATATTTTGTTTTTTAAAGAGCCATCAGTTAAATTTATTTCTGTTTCTTAACTTGTGCTTATCCCAAAGCTTTCAGATTTGCCTGGCACAATGTATTTTGAGATGTGTAGTATTTATATCTAGATGTTTATGTTACTTGGCAACACAACTGAGGCATTTACCTTTGCCTTTACTGAAACATTGGGTTGAGTAGTGAGAATTTAGTGACAGCAGTGCTTATTGAATGCCCCTGTTGATTGCTCTAGGATTAGGGTAGAGGTAATATCTTGAAGTTTTGGGGAGTCTTTAGATATGGCTTAAAATTTGGCATTTAATTTAAATATTCTAAAGTAAAAGAGAATGTGCAACAGTGCATCTCTAGTGTATATAGAATTCGCCTTCTTGACAATTTGTTATTAATAAATTGGGATATAAATGTAAAAGCTGTTGCAGCATTAAATATAGTCAAGATTTTTTTCCAGATGAAATTAGAATTAAATGAGTAATGTATATTGATGGTGATATGCTTCGTTAGGTCAACTTTAAGTTTAACTAGCTGAACATTTTTTAAATGATGAAAGGTTAAGTTTGTCAAAAAGAAGTTTCTCATATCTCTCCTGGAAATACTTCTCATTTTAAAAATTACATAAACAGTGATCCCATTGTGCTTATTGATTATGAAAGAATTTGACTTGGTAAAACAAAACACAACCTTATAGGATCTTTTACAAGATGTCTTCCATCCATGCATCAGGACAACTTAGATTTCTTAGAAGATGTAACAATAGAAATAATCCTGTTCAGTGACCTTCTGATAATAAACATCAGGTGAGGCGTAAAACAGGGAGATTTATTCTCACCAAAGGTATTTACCATTGTGATGAAAGAGATCTGGCCTTCACAGTCCAAGTTAAGGAGGGATAATCTCCGGATTGTGAAGTCCTCCAGATATTCCTGTCTTTGGATAGTACTATGCTGGTTGCACCAAATATGTAGCCTCCTGGAAGAGATATGTAACCATTCAAAGAAGTTTGGCTTGTTCATACACATAGGAAAGACCAAGTGAATGAAGAACTTCTTGTGTAGGCCTGATCTATTGCTTACATATCAACATGTATTTTGATAGGTGCCTTACAGAGTTTGTTCAACAAACAAGAGGAGAGCAGACTGGATTACTTTAGGGGAATTGCTAAGCTTTTTTACCATTTACAAAATTTCTCATAAAGGCAAAGGCGGCCCATATTTTAAATACTAACATTTTACTGGTGTTGCTACATGGCATGGAAAACTAAAAATGAGTATTACACAGAGAGCAATATAGGAGTGCATGGTGCCTGCAGCACATAACAAGTAAGAAACTCTAACAAATAGGAGTAAAAGATGTCTTCAGAGAATTGCATGACCAGAAGTGAAGTCTGGTCACATAGCAAGGGGATGTGTGTGTCAGATAAGCAGCCATTGTGTACAATTGCTACCCTGTGGGAAAAGAGTAAGGCCTCCAGCAAATGGGATGAACTCTGTTTGGCAAGCCTTTGTTGAGGCGGTGGACCTGAGTAACATGAAATAGGCAGATATGGATGAATTATAATCTATCTTGGAATGAATTCCCTAATCAATGAGATCATAGATCCGTTTGAGTATGTATAAATGAAGAATTATTTTCTGTAACTTTATATCAGACTATAGTAAAACTCTGCTATTGACTTATTTGAAAGACTTTAGCTATAAATAAGTGACCATAAATTAAAAAAAAAATAACATTATTGATTCACACTGTAGTATCTGCCAAAAAATTACTTAAAGCTTACTAAACATTAATGGAAAAATAGTAAAAATTTTTATCTGTTTGTGATTGTGATATCTTGAATAATCTAATAATTTTTATAATGAATAAGTGTTAATTAATCTCAGTGAATCCTTAGTAACAAAAACAAAACTCATTTTCATTTGGAATTATTAAAGCAGCTCAGTTATCAGCCCTCCTGCCGTGTTTAGAATAAACTCAGACCATTGCAATCCAGAAATTTTATTTTTCTGAATGTTTCCTTGTCAGGATTTATTGACTTCACTTACCAAGAAACATTCTCTTATGGAAAGATAGGGGATAGTGACCTTATTGAGTTTATTTATTGTCAAAAAATCAAATCTAGAGAACATTCTACTGCCTCAGTGAAAATGTTTGATTCAGCAACTTAATGGAAGCACTTACAAGTTCATTCATTATAGTAACATGAATGGTGTCAATATTCAAATGTGATATATGCTAGAATGTGTGGGAATTGAGTCATTTCCATTAGACATTCCCACAGACTCTCATGTTTACTAGTAAGCCAGCAATTACTGTCTCTAGTTATATGTAGATCTTTTGTAGAAATTTTGATAAGCTTTTCTTAGAGAAGCAGGTGAAACAGGAAGGTTGTAAACAGCAGCCTTGGGGACTAGTAAGGGTTTTAGCCTTTGTAACCATTTTTTCTTTTTTATTTCAGCTTTACTTTTAGAAGCCCAGTCAACACCATTTCAAATAACACCTTCAACTATGGCAAATATTGTGAAAGGCCTGTATACACTTAGACCAGGTAAACATTACCTTTTTCCTTTGAAAAGGATTGAAAACATTGAGGGTCAGCCTCAACCAATAGTGAAATGGCTTAATTTTTTAAAAATTAAATGTATATTTTAAATCTTCTCCTCTGTGAAGGTTAATAGTAGGACATTTCATTGTGTCAATTTAGTTTACCACTTTATAGATTGTTCTAATGGTAGATATTAGCTATTGTGTATATGGCACTTTTAAGGTTTGCATATGTTACCTCATGTGATCCTCACAACAACCTTGGGGGGGTTGTAGCTATTATTATCACCCTCATTTTAGAGATGAGAAAACTAAGGCTTTTAAAAAGTTAAGTGCAGGCAGCTAGGTAGTGCAATGGATAGAGCATTGGCCCTGGAGTCAGGAGGACCTGAGTTCAAATTTGACCTTGGACATTTACTAGTTTGTGACCCTGGGCAAGTCACTTAACCCCAATCCCCCCCCCCAAAAAAAAGAAAAGAAAAGTTAGGTGTTAAATAGAAGCCAAAGTTCTGAAGTAACTGCTTTGAAAATATTTGAAGTTTTAAATGCTTCTTTTGGGAGTAAAGTGGAGTAACTCCATACCTTTGATTTCACTGGGTTATGGAATGCTGGGTGAGGAAACTCCCTCTACCAATGCCAACATACAACTGTTCTGCCTCCTATGGAATTAGAGAATTGCCTGGAGCACTGAGATGTTCAGTGACTTGGCCAGGTTCACTTAGCTAGTATGTATCAGAGGCAGCCCTTGAACTCAGCTCTTGTTGACTTCAAGACTAGCCGTTTCTCAGTTGTACTGCGCTGCCACATAGCATGGAGTGGTATTTATCATCGTGACATGAGAACAAGTGATCTAGGCAAAATTGTACTCTAAAATAGGACTTAGGAAAAGAAGGAGTTAAATGGTAGCAAAAAAGATCCTTTGAAGAAACTGAATCTCATGTTTCAGGTTTTAACTTTTGTGTATTGATATATACTTCTTTTAAAGAATCTTTACTTCTTCTTGCCTTGCATATACATATAGCTTTATCTTACCAGACACAAATGTAAACTGCTGGTCTGGAAGTGTCACAACAGTGCTGCTGGTTTTAAATAAATATTTCCAAAGCCTGTATGCATTAATGCAATTAAGACCCACACATTCATAGGTGTATTTTTGCATGCTCTTCGAGTGTACCTGTCTTGAAATAAGAGCAGCCCAACTGTGAAGGAAACCCTAAGAGGCTTTCTTGTCCAGATAGAATTTAACAGATATTTTAAAGGAGCTTACTGTGCCCAGTACCAGTCATAAGGGGAAATGCAGAAATGGATAAAACATGGCTCCTGATGTTATAGGATTTAGTGGCAGGATGGACTAACAGGTAGAGTGCTGTCATTGTTCGGGCAGATCTGGGTATTCAGCATTTATTAGTTATCAAACCCAGTAACCCAGAATCAATCTGAAGCTCAGTTTCATCCCTGTAAAATAAGGGTATTCACAGGGCTATTTGTAAGGATTTGAAATATAGAATTGTTCACCCCCTTATTTTATACATAAAGAAATTAAGACCTAGGTAATTTTGACTTCCTGGTGTTACACAGGCTAGTGAATTACCAAAGGAATTTGAAAACCAAGTCTAGTTCTCTCTCCCCTCTACCACAAAATATAAATTCCATAGCATGGCATTCAAGCCCTAGTTTCTAGTATACCTTTCGACATTATTTCATATTATTCCCTTTCGTTCGTGCTATATTCCAGCCAAAGTGGACTCTTTGCTCTTCCTGAACTTGACATTATCTCCTGCCTCTGCATTCATATCATTCATCACCATGACTCAAGTGCTCTCTTTCCTGAGATCAGCCTCTCAGAATCCAAGACTCCTTTTAGGTGCAACCTTTTCCAAATCACCTCAGTGGTTAGTTTCTTCTCCATATTACTTTGTGTAGTATACTTTTCTGTATGTGTATTGTGTCCTCCTAATAGAATGTAAACTCCTTGAGGTCAGGGACTTTTTAGTTTTTGTTTTTGCATCCCTGGTGCTGAGCCTAGAGTGAAATCCAGCCTTAGACACTGACTAGCTGTGTGATCCCGACCAAGTTACTTAACCCGTTTGTGTCAGTTTCCTCATCTGTAAAACAAGGAAAATAATAGCACTCAGGGATTGTGAAGATCAAATGAGATGATTGCAAAGTGCTTGGCAGAGTGACTGGCACACAATAAGTGCTACGTAAATGTTAGTCATCATCGTCATCATTATTATATTATTCATGGGCACTTACTCATTGTTTATTGAATTTGAGTATAAGATATATGGATGTGAGTATGCCCTCCAAAAGGACTGTATGTAGTGTGTTTCTTGAAATTCAATCTTTTTTGGAGAGGTTACTTAGAGGCCAAGAATATTTGTAGAACAGGCTTCAAGAACTTGATAAGTGTATCACAACGGCCTAGCTTCTTCCAACTAATTCTTCCTTGAAGACAGACTCTGAAGGTTGTGGGTTTCCCTTCATTGGGAAGTTTTCAGGCAGAGGCTGAATGACTACTTATTCGGTATGAAACTAGAAGATTTTTTTTGTTACGATTTGGACTAGATATTCACAGATATATTGTCCAGCATCAATTCTGTGAGAGAAGGGAAGGCTTCTTCTTGGGAGAAGAGGAGCAGGGAAGGCTTCATGGAAGAAGCAGCATTTGAGTAAGGTCTTGAAAGATAGTAGTATTTTACCAGGAAAAATTGGGGGTTAAGGCCGTTCTTAGCCTGTGGAATGACAGGAGCAAAAGTACAAATGTAGAGGAGTACAGAAGATCCTTGGAGTCAGTGAGCAGTTAAACTAAATTATAAGATTAGTAATGGGATGTTAGCATGGGATGAGATTGAAATAAAGGTGATAATCTGGCAGATATGGGCAGTCTTGAATATCAGACTAAAGTTTTGAATCATTGTTCCATCTGAATGGAAAACATCCCAAGCAATTCCCTTAGTTTAAAAAAAAAAAACGCAGCTTTAAAAATACTTTACAGGAACAGTTTCTTAAGTTCCCAATGTGGAACATTATCTTACAGCCTGCAAACTTAGATAATGTTTCTTTGGATGAGTCTGTAAAACATTTAATAACTATTTGTAAATAAAGTGTTCCTTAATTGGTAAAATGCCATACCCATCTAATTTAGTTTTAATTACTGTATTACTGTTGAGAATTCTAAGGAAAGTTTCTGGTCTAGTCAACCAATGAAGCCTGTCAAGGTTGATGTAAAATATAATGACTGCCCCCCCCATTCCTAATTTCCTAGAAATTCCTAATGCCCATAGACTATTATTAATACCAGTGGTTCCCTAGTTGTTTAAAAAGCTTAATGTGAAGTATTACAAATTTGTGTCAGGTTTTTACTAGGTTATATACCTGAAAATTTTTGACTAGAAGCCCCTGAATAATCTATTACCTATCTTATTGAACTGAATTGGAGCTTTTTAAATTAAACAGTAGTACTGAACAGAGCTCATATGATTTCTAAGGGTTAGCCTATGAGTAATATTTTCATGTTGGATGGCAACCAGATACTTTGTGGCATTTTGGAGTTCTGTATACTGAATAGACAGCTTTATTGCATGTGGCTTTTGAATAAATAGGGCTAATCTCTTAGGGTAAAAAGAAATGTTGGTGCATGTTTCTTTAAAAGTTATTTTATCTAGGCTGGGGCACTAGTAAGAGAATTTATAATATTGTGAGAAGAACTTGATATTCAAGAATTGACCTGTTAAACATTTTTTTTTTCCCCATTTAGACAGCCTTTGCTGGTCTAGATATTTTCTGAGGGACTTATTTTTTGGCACCTTTATGTTATTAGCACTAGCCATTATGGAGGGTGTCTTGAAAATGTTTAAAAAGTTTAAAAGTAAAATACAGTTTTAAGCTTTGATAGCTTAAAATTGCACTGAAGATGTTTAAGAACTCTGTATTTCTGTTTTATTGAGGAGTTTGTATTGTACTATGTTCACTCATCTAAAAAAGATTAAGTTCCTAAAAAAGACATGATTTATGATTTTAAGAACCCCAAACCCTTACATACCCAGCATTTGACTGTTACCATTACTTACCACATTGTACCTATTTTCTTTTAGCATTTTGGGAAGGGAGGGAAGGGTCTGCACTTATGATTCAATTGGTAAAAGGAACTTAAGATGAACCAGATTCTCTATCTATACTGATTAGCAACTATTCTTAGATATATGTTGTCTTGAATTGCCTGGGGCAGTGGAGAAGTTAAGTATCACACAGTCAGTCAGAGGGAAGACTTGAACTCAGGACTTTCTGACTTCAAGCCTTATTTTCTGTCCCCTGAGTCACATTGCTTCTTTCTTTCATCTTAAACTCCCCAGAGCACCTAAAAGTTCTTTCTTTTTTAGTAGAAATGAAGATAAATTTTAACTAACAATGGCTTAAAGTAGCATTACTATGTTCTGAGATAAGGAAGATCTTTTTTTTTCTATGAAGAAGTTGTAGAGTTCTAAATACAGGGCAGTGTGATTGTGTGTGTGTATATACATATATATATGTATAAAATAATTTTCATGATGATTAGGGTAGGAAGAGAGGGGATGCAAATTTTCCTGCTATGTAGGTGAACAGAAACTCACCTTAACTCCTGTCTAGATTCACATCCTTCCAGCCGTCTCCTAGGATATCAGGGGCCTACACAACAGCATCTTGTTATTTACCTCGTGACTGTGCATACAGGCAGCTAGGGGGCACAGTGGATAGAGTGCCAGACCTGGAGTCAGGAAGACATGAGTTCACATTCAACTTCAGACACTTATTAGCTGTGTGATCCTGGGCAAGTCACTTAACTGTTTTCCTCAGTTTGCTCATCTGTAAAATGAGCTAGAGAAGGAAATGGCAAACCAGTATTGCTGCCAAAAAAACTCCAAATGGGGTCACGAAGATTTGGACACAACTGAACAGTGGCAATTGTGCATATACCACTCCTCCACCCCTTTTCTACCTCTTACTCTTAATCTGTAAGCAGTTAACGAATTGGTACTACCACTGGTAATAGAAAGGGAGCAGTAGCCTCCTTCCCTGTGTCTCCACTCAAAATCCCTCTGACTGCCTAGACCAAAAATTTCTTCCCTGGCAATCATTCCCAAAAAGTGTCCTTGTCGCTACTAAAACTCTCACAACATTTTGAGCATCTTTACCACACTCTATTTTGTTCCATGCTTATTTGTGTGTTTTATATTCACCTGTTCCTAGAGGGTAGTGACAGTATTATTCATCTTTGGCAGTGTACATGGCTGGCATACAATTGAGAGTCAAGTTTTAAAATTTAGTAGTAGATGAGATCTTTTAATGATTTTTTTCTTTTAAAGTTTACTTTGGTATAGATTTTGCTTTTTAAACAAAATAAACTCCCAAACTCCTCATTTCATTTAATTTTTCTTTTTTTTTCCTCCTTTCAGAGTGGGTTCAGATGGCACCAGCTTTATTTTCTAAGTTCATCCCAAACATACTCCCACCTGCAGTGGAATCAGAGCTTCAGCAATATGCAGCTCAAGATCAGAAACTCCAGAGAGACCTTTTACAAAATGGATTTGCAAGGTATATTGAATTATGCTTCAGTACCAACTCTCATAGGCTAGGGCTGCAGCTGAAGGAAAACCTTTTTAGTAGTTTGATCAGTGTTAACATGGGTTTCCACAAGATAGGATATTTATAGTGTTAAAATAGGGGATAGGTTCCATGGGAGGGTTATGTAAGAGATTTTATTGCATTATGTGAAGTTTGATAGCAGAGGTTCTTTATCTGGAGTCCATGAATATGCTTTTTAAATAGTGTGATGACTGTGTTTCGATGTAATTGGTTTCCTTTGTAATTCTTTAAATTTTATTTCCTGCATATAAAAAATTCTGAAAAGGGATCCATAGGCTTAACCAGCCTTCTAAAGGGGTTCGTGTCGCAACAAGATCAAGAACCCCTGTTTTAGAGGTTTCCTAGAGTAGGAATTCCTAGAAGGGAAGATACTTTTTACCCTTACAGCCTTTACACTGCCCCCACCCCCAAATTGTAAAAATTGGGTGGGGGAGATGATTACTTTTGGACCTTTGCATTTCTAAATAGACAACATTTTAATCAAATTGAGTTATGTAAAATAAAATTTTATTAGTCCTAAGCTAACAAAACATGCATAGAGCACTTTTTTTTTAAGGTATTTATATATTTTTATTTTTTTCCTGGAAAACTTTCCTTTAGAATTTTCAGAAATTTTTTATATCTAGTTGACCATATCTTATTTTTTCTTAAACATAATTTTTGAGTGATACACACCCCTTTTGCTAAAGTGCCCTACTGTACTGTATTTAAGTTGAAGTAAATGAAAATTGTCTGAATTTTGACATCCATTGAAAATTTGGAGATTCCCTAACATGTTACAAAACCAGGCTCGGCAATCCTTTAGAGGGAATGAAGATGCTTGAATACTTCTTAAGAGTAATTGTATACCAACTGTTGACAGGATATTAAACTCTGGAAAGGAACATGCCCTCTTTAGGCTCCTTTCTTCAGAGCTGGAGATGAACACGCTCTTGCGAACGAGGACTTATCAAAGGTTCTGGTGTTTACTTGAGTCTTTGGGGTAACCTTGGCTGAGATAACAGCTCTTTTTCAGTTCTACAGTTATATATGTTTTACTGTTAGTGATGAATAATAAATATGATCATATTCTCTTTATTCATATAACATTTGATATAGAGCTATTCAGACTCCTGTTTTCCTTTGTAAATGAAGATATTATTGATGGCTATACCTCCAGTTGTAGGTGCCTGGAGGAGGGGAGGCTGGCAGTGGGATGGGGGGATAGAAGGTAGAACTATACCCTCACATTGTTTATTAGCACACAGTGTTTCCTGCTGCTTCTTCACATTATCAGTCTATGTAGATTGACCTGGTAAAGCTTCACTGCTTAGCTGCAAGTGAGTTACATGGGTTACAGCAGTGTTGCCCCATCTTTGGTTCCCTCTAGTGGCCAGGATTCAAAGAGGAGTTACTGTCTCACTTTGATTCATTGTTGGATGAAACTGGCTCTATCTCATTAGATAGCAAATTATAGGTTACGGATGTTGGAGACATTTCTTAATCATTTGTTTCTGCCATCAAACTAACTGATTAAAAGCAAAGGCCAAAATAAGCATCAAATTATAAAAAAAGGATAAAGAAAAAATACTGTATGTCATCCTGTCTAAATAATTTGTTGACTCTGAAAAAATGGCAGCTAAATGAACATCATTAGCTTTTATTAGCTTTACCATCATTACTATTTCTTAGAAAAGTTTAACTTATATGAATAAGTTGTCACAACATGGAGTCTGAAGAGCCCCCAGATCACCTAAACTGGTAAACTCTTGGTCTCCTTGTCAATGGAGACAAGAAACAGCCAAGGATTTTTAATACATGATTGTTTTTAAATTTTAATGTTTTTAAATACCAGATTGTTTAATTCAACATACACTTACTTGCAAAACATAGTGATGAGTTTCTCCAGATATTCTTGTCTGTGGATGACATTGTTCAGATTGAGTCAAGTCCTAAGGCTACCTCAGTGAGGTCCACACTCTCTAAAAAGGTAATCAGCTTGGTAACGTGCACAGGAAGAAGAAAATGGATAATGGGAGAATGCTTGTTTTCCAGATTATGACATGCAATTAGATGGACAGCTCATTTTTAGCCTGTTTCTATCAGCATGTATATCTGGAATGATTTTGCATGTGAACAGTGAACTGGGCCTAAAATTAATAGGAGAGTGAGCTGGATTACTTTTGGGAAATTATTGGCACTTGGGTCCTACGCTGCTTCCTAAAACACAAACTAATCTTTTTAATATCAATATTCTCCCGGTTATGATACAAACTTGGTGTTTATTGATACAAATTGTACCTCATCTCCAAAGAATCTAAATTGAAGGTGATTTAGGGCATTGAAAAGTAGGAGCAGGTTGTGTGTAAGTAAATAGGGTAAAACATATTACCTGTAATATGCACATAGAAAGTAGTGTAAAAAATATACTAAAGGGCTTGGATGAAAATGAATTTAGCTAATCATTTAAAGAAAAACAGCTGGATAGCTTAAGTACCTATGAAAGATTAAGTCCTAAAGCAGAGGCTGGAGTACAATTGGATAGATACTCCTGTGGAGGATTTCTGGGAAGACATGGACAGGAATGATAGGATGAGAAGGCAAGCAGACATTGCCATTTGTACTGGCAGAAAGAGTGCCCACATGAAATCACAAGCTCATTAATCTGAAATTAGTGTTTTAAGATGAGGGGGAGGAAATCTAGTTTTAGCATTCAAAAATGTTTTTATTGTTTTTTTTTAACATCATATTCATTTCTATATCCCTCCCCTTCCCATCAAAGCATTTCTCCAAACAAGAATAAAAAAAAGGGGAATAAAGAAGTTCAGCAAAACCACACATCAGCTATATTGCATTTCCTGCATTGTGGCATTTGGGCTTTTTGATTTGTCACATTCTGTTGGAATACCTGTGACTCCGAAGTTGTCTCTGTATACTACTTTGAAGTCTTACAGGGGTGGAGTTGGAGTGGGGGGAGCGATAACCTGGGGTTGGGCCCAGTCAAAGGGATGCTTTTACTCAGCTATCATCATTTCTCCTCATGCTCCTCGGCAGGGTCAGTGTTTGCTTACTGTTGTGAGTTGTGGACATAAAAGATAAAGTATGAAGTGGAGCCTTGGCAGCAGTCTGGATCCCAATATATGTGGGCCTCATGCTCAAGCCTGTGAATTACTTTGTGCTTTCCTGCCAGAAGTATGATGGCAGGTGAGAGAGGTATTAATTCATAAGGATTTTACCTTGTGGGGATTCTCTCTTTGAACTGGATTTTGCTGTAATTGCTTTAGATCTGAAATCTTTTTTTTGGCGGTTTCAAAGAATTAAAGTGGTCTGGAGAAAGACCACTATCTTGCATGACCCAGAAGCATTTGGATTTATTTTTTTTAGAGATCATCTTAAAATTGTGTGCACTGTAAGTTAAGTATTCTCTTAAAAACTTTTACTTATATGGTTCTAGGTTTTCATCAGTGCTTCACCTGTGCAGAACACTCTGCTGATGTTTACCTTAAATCCCCACAATGGGGAGTCTACCCATTGTGCTTAGGGGGACTTCCTCTGGATCTCTTGACATTGCATGGATATCAGTGGAGCAGGAAGCAGTCTATCAGTTAGCCTTCATTTGTGCTGTGTAACCAACCCTCACTTCTTTTCTGGTCAATTATGTCTGGCTTCTTTTACTACATTTTCTTCCCCGCGCAGTCCCTCTTGGTACTTTGTTGCAGTCTGTGTATGCCTGTCATGTGCATTGTCATTGACCTTTGGGTGACCCTTAACTTGAATTCTTTGGAGACTGTGATATTTTATATCCCTTAGCCATATGGTATCACTGTGGATGTTAAAAAATATAGCCCTTTGTTTCAGATAGACGCTTTGGGGTGAAAGTGGAGCAGTTTTGCAATGTGGTAGGAGGGAGGGAATAAACATTGATTAAGTACCTACTATGTCCCAGGCACTTGTTAAAAGCTTTACAAATACTATCTTATTTTATCCTCACAACAACTCTGGAAGGTGGTGGGTATTGTTATCCCCATTTTATAGTTGAGGAAACTGAGGCAAACAAAGATTTAAGTAACTTGCCCAGGATCACATATCTAGTAAGTGTCTGAAGCTGGATTTCAACTCAGATCTTCCTGACTCCAGGTCCAGCACCTTATCTATTGCACCACCTGGTTGCAAAGCTGCAATACAACTCTTCTATACCTATTTAATTATGAGCTTTATAATTTTCCATCTGTAATATCTGTTTACCATTTCTTACTCTGTTTCTTATTCACTTACTGATCATAATTTTGTCCTATTCTACTCTGAGATTTTTTGAGTTTATAAAAACTCATGCTTTTACCTGCTGTATCACTTTTGACAAGGAAATGAAGTATTTACCAGTTGAGGTTTTGGTTTCCTTATTGTAACTACTGATTTAGTATTTTAATTTCTTTAGGAAATGGTGATAATCTTATATCCCATTTTTCATTTCTGTACATAAACAGCCTGTTTAGGTCAGGTCAGAATTGTCTCGGTTACGTGCCATATCTTTTTTTCCTCTTAATTTCATATTGATTTTGATGTTTTCTGTAACTAGTCAGTAGTCCGACTATAGAGAGTTAATTTCGAAATGACTTCCACATCAGTAACCAGTTACTTTCTTTCAGTTAAAATATAATTTCATTTTATTTTCTGATGTTATTTGGATGATTGCCATGTTTAGCACCATATGACTTTCTTCTGTTTTAAGTACTTTTGCCATACAGGTCTGAGTCTTGTGTGTGTGTGTGTGTGTGTGTGTGTGTGTGTGTGTGTGTGTGTGTGTGTGTGTGTGTGTTTAGGGGGAGAAAGTGGAGAAGATAGGAAGTTTATTAGACGAATGAGGTACATGCTTTGGTAACTATCCTATATGATATTCTATAAGAACCATTAGAGAGGTGTGCCAAACAAAATCCTGTGGGGGAGATCTGGAGGAACATTTCTACTGACTAGGAGCATCATGATGGTCTACTAGAGGCTGGTATGCATGGGCAGGAACTAGGGTAGATCAGCTTAGGGCACTGATTCTTTTCAGTGTCAATCAGACAATAAGCATTTGTTAAAAATATCTGCTGTTAGAGGCAGCTCTTGAGTATGTTCTGTACTCCTTTGGCCTTTCTTATTTTTTAATCTTAAACCGTGCTTTCTAGATTTTTTGTTTCCATCTCTAATAATATTAATATAATAAGGAGAGGCATATCAGCTTCTTGATAGAATTTTTTTTTTTAACCTCCATCATCTCCACAACAGGTGGTGATATGTAAGTGGCAGTTATTTTCATGGTGAATCTTTTTTGTACATCTTACCAATGTAAGATTACCTAGTATCTTGTGAATTTCATTGTTACTTTGGGGTGCATGAGTAAAACAATACAACCAACTCCTCTGTTTGCTCTTTAAGGAGAACCCATGTGCCCTAATTCCATTTAACTGAAGTTTCCTTTTGTTTCCTATTATCTTTTAAAATGGGAATACCGAGGTTTATATAATTCAGTTTATGTTTTTATGTCTACTCTTTGGTCGATAGATTAGTGGCTTATATTCAGTATACCAGTGGTTTAGTATTTATAGATGGCCTAAAACAAATTTGTTTTTTAACCTGGGCACCATCAGTTTTTTTTAACCATTTGATAACCACATTTTGATGTAATTGGTTTCTTTTATCATCTTAGGTATTTATATATTTAGAAGCACTTTTCTGAGAAGGGAATATGTAGGTTATTGCCAAAGGAGTTCAATACCCACAAAAAAGGATAAGAACCTAACTCCTCGGCTAAAAACCAACTCTTCTAACCCTCAAGCTCTGTTTCTGCCTCTAAAAGGTGACCTACATGGGACTGAGAATCACTTTTACAATTTTAAACATTTTTTGGTTTTTTTATTTGAACTGTGATGAAGGTAGTGTTAAGATTGTAGCTATACAATTCAGCAAATACTCATTAAATACCTTTGAGTACTGTGCTGTCTGATGGGGAAGTGAAGACAAGAATGACACGGTCTCTGTCTTCAAGGTGCTTTCATTTTATTGCTTCTCTGAAGAATGAATATGCTTTGTGCCAGAACAATTTATTAGGATGAGTGAATATGCAGAACCATTTCTCTAGTCCTTAGGACAAGACATTTTAAGGTTTGGGATTTGAAGTCATTAGGCATGGTATGAATTCTTCATTAAATCTTTTCATGTATAAATTCTGAGTACATACAATACTAACTTAAATATATAACTGAATTATACAATTAAGACAAAATCCCTTACGTCCATAAAAATGATTAAAAATTTTATTTTATATGGAAAAACTTCATTTTCTTTGCTCAGCCTCTGGCTGAAATTTAAGTACCAGGCAATATTTCAGAACATAATAAGATTAAAATAGATTTTATTATAATCAAGTTAATTGTGCTTTTTATATAATTAAATTTACGGTTATACGTTTAGTGTGAGGATTAAACTCTCCTCTTAAATTATAATGATAGTACTTTGTGTAGAACAGGCAATATAAGCTCATGTCATCATATACAACTATTCCAGTCCAACTTTTTATCCTCCCACTGAATAGTATTCAGAGGGGATTTGCAGAAACCATACTTAGGCTAATGCAAAAGCCACCCTTTTGCTCTTAAGAGCTTGTTGATGGGTCTTATAAATTATGCTCTGTAAAACTCAGTGCCTTCTTTGATCATTATTTGGCCAGAGCAGTTTTTGAAGAAATTGTATCCACTGATGCGAGAAGAATCAAGAATATAGTACAGTTATCTAATAATAATTCTGTTACTGGCTATTCTGATACGAGCAGTCATTTTATGATTTATGCTCAGCCAACCACAAGATTATACTGCACAGCTTTGCAAACCACTTTTTCATTTAAGATTATATTGCCATCACATTATTTTGGAGTCTAGCACTATGTCCAAGATTTAATAGAGTGTGCCACAGAAGTCTTTGCAGTGTTTTGTCCTAATATATAAATCTTGTTGTATTCATACTATGTTATTAGTTGGTAGTGAGCACATTCACATTTGGGCTGGGTGTTTTCGTGAATTGGAAAAGATGTTTGTGAGTGTAAAGAATTCTACAGAGTGTCTTGTTTTAAAACACAATTGATATTGTGAGCTGCAGTCAACTTTTCCTATTCTTTAATTTTTTTGTTCTTTACTGGAGTCAACTTTTTTCTGTTCTTTAATTGAATTGACTTTGTAGGTTCTGGTTTGTCGTCTGAAATCAAATAATGGAAAGTAAGCTTAACTTTGAGCTTTTAAAGTGTGTGCTCAGCTTGAAAAGGTATTGAACCATCCCTAATTTACACCTTCATTTGGGGTCCTTGGCGGTAACTACCAACTACTTTTAATAGTAAAAGAAAACTTCCTAATAGTACAATGAACAATTTCTTTTACAAAAGAAAATCGAAGCCCTTAAATGTGTTGGTCTGTTTTCCTCTACGTAGTTGAACCTGAAAACTTTTACTGTATCCGTGTGGTAATAGAGATTACAGCTCTAGAGTACCTCACAGTTTGTCATTAGTATGGGTTAGATGGCCTGTCATTGGCTGTATATTGATTTCATGGGTAGATAGGTTCAAGGGATTGTATTTTTATTCTTAGATTTCTCCTGTGTTTGTAGTCTTTCTACATTGTGTGCATTTGTAGTTTTCCATGGTATCTGTTTTATGTTTTTAATTGTGTCTGTTGAGGTGAAGTAATGAATATTTTTCATGACAGTTTATATCATGAATGGAGGGTCCTTGAACCTCCTTTTTTCAGAATTATTCCCATAAAGAACATTATGATGAATGGAATTTCATTTGGCATTTAGTTAAGTACTGCTGAAAACAGAGTTGTACAAGCTTATTTATAAATATTATTTGCTAATGGAATCTTTTTTCCTGAATTGATAACATCTGGATCCAAATTATCCATTGAGTTGAGTTTCAAAAAGAATGTATTTTTCTTAGAATTTTAGGCCCAGAAAAGAGAATTAGATGTCTATTTTACTTAGTTAACTTAGTATTTTTTAGATCAGAAAAATATATAAATTTGGAGAGAGATTTCAAAACTAGGAAATTTATTGTGCTTTAATAACTCATAAGTAATGACTACATGAAATATTACTTAAGTGATCTTAAGCATGAAAATGATTTCATATATTAACTAAAATGCCTGGATGAAGGCAGAGAATGGATTATAGGTGATGCATGGACTTAGTCCTAGTTTTTGCCACTAATATGCTCTGGATTTGCCAATTTTAGCTTCCATATTTTCTCATCTATAAAGTAAAGAGTAAAGAAATCTTTGTCCCCATCTCTCCTGCATATGTTTTAAGGTAAATTAGATAATATCTATAATCCCTTTCCTTTTCTTGGAAGAAAGACATTATGGTACATTAGGGTGATGTTTATGAACTTTTTAGGCATTTTGTTTAGCTTCATTATACTCTCTCAGGTAAAACCCTTCAAATGTTCATTTGGCATTTGGGGAGTCTGAGGATTTGCCTAAATCTATACATCAGTAGCATTGCTAGCAACCCAGTTACTTCTTGTAATCTTCAAACTATATGACAGGGTTTTTGGAGGAGATGAGCAGGGACCAAAAGGAGAACAGAATTGTCCCATCTCTGCCTGTTTCATAAATTCATGGTGGCAAAAAAAAAATAGACTTTTCATGTCTGTTAGAATTGATGCTTATTGAAATTCAGAACATGGAAACACTGCATTATTAGACTCATACATTTCTTATCCCATGCAGGTCTTTCAAATATTGTGCAAAAACACATTCGAAAACAGAATATAGATTGTCATAGTCACTGTCCTTCCATTAGATGTAAATATTTGAGAGCTGAATCTATTTTAAAATGCATATGATCCAAGTTTCAGAGTTTGCAGCAGTGTTGCTTTTTATTATCATGACTTAAATCTGTTGCTTGGATTAGAATTAGTTAGTCAACATGTAATGGCTGCTGTGTGCTGAGAGAAATGGTCTCTGTCCTCAAGGAGCTTTCCTTCTCTTGGGAGATATCATGTACACATATATGCAGGGTCACTGGGGAGCAGAATCACTGGAAGGTGGGAGGATCAGCAGCGGCCTCATGTTGTTGATGACAGTTGAGTTGTGTTTTAAAGAAAAGTAGATATTGTAATGGATGGTGGTACATTCTAGGAATGGGGGACAGCCTGTGCAGAGGAGTAATTAAGACTGGATCTGCCATATATATATGCACATACACATATCTGTATCATAATTAAGGACATGGTTTCCCTTGTATCTCTACCAATAAGTCAGTCTTGTTTACCCTTCTTGCTTTTGTTTTCCTAGAGGTGATCAGTCACGTAAGAGAGCTGGAGAAGAATTAGCTTATAGTAAGTAATAATGTTTTTGTTCTTAAATCTAAAGAATCAAATAGTTTTGTGACCTTGTACAAATAGTATTGATAACTATGTGATGAAGTGTTTTAACATTGGTACATTTCTTGGTGAAACAGGTGTCCACATAAGGACCAACTTTTCATGAAATTCAGACTGACTCCTGCAGGTAGTTTCAGTAGGGAAATCAAGTTGTTGGTGGTGGGCATTGGTGGGGTGATTGTGAAGAAGCTGGCACTGTGCAGTTTCTCACCAGAATAAAGGGTGACCCAGTTTCACATGCTAGTGATCTAGCACTTTTCATGACCCTTATATATTCAGTGCCCTTTAATCCTACCCAGAATATTTTTGTAAAAGCCTTCCTTTGCAACAACGGGATTTGGGGAGGAGGTTGTGTGGGCTAGGGAAATAGCAACAGCCCCCTAGAGTACTATCGAATGGTGTTTTGTGTACACAATTGTTTACTATTCAGATGTTTTTTTCAGATGGCTCATCAGCATGTGCCAGTTCCAGAGGGTACAGATAGTGAATGTGTCCTGAATGTGCTTTCATTCCTAAAAGGAGACCCTGGAGGAGCTGGAATTGTATCCAGAGCACCAGCTTGGGCCCTGCTAAGACTCAGGAGCTCTGTCGCCAAGGTAGACTTGGAAGAGGAGGTTGGACTTCATGCTTGGTTTTCTAATTTTTCTTAAAATGTCAGTTGCTGCTAGACCTGGGGATAATTTTGAGAGGTGACAATCTTTCAACAAATTTTATTCACACCTTCTCTGAGGAACAGGTATCTTGAGAAGCATTACTCAGTGAAAATTGGCAGCCCAAATCAGCAGCTTCCTGCAAAAGACCAGAAGAATCCTTTTTTGCACTTATTTTTTGTTCATTTGTGGACTGTTAAGTGTGTTGGTATATATCAGTTTCATATGTCAAGATATCTTTTACTTAAAAATCATTACAATACAGTATTTTTTTGTCCATAACCAAAACAAAATCCCCTGTTTAAAGAGTTGGTCCTTTGTTTAGCATTAGAAAGTGTGTTAAAAGAGATTGCTAACTCTGTTTTGTCATAAATATTCTGAATTCTTATTGGTTCTCTTTTTTCCACTGTGTGCCTTGAGCTTTGTGCACTTTGCAACAACTGATTGCAAATTCAGAGATGCTTCCTGAAGATGCTTGTGGTGTCATATACAAACCCAGGAAGGCGCTAACTGCTGCTCAGCTGGCAGGGTGCTCATTGAGGGGGGAAATTGTTAATCTGTAGCAGATTGGTCAGATATTCCATCTGCTTTAATATGTGTGTGTTCATATTAGTGTTGGGGACCAACTCTTGGAGAAATTTCCATTCCCTTTATCACTTAACCATGAATATGTTAGCTGCTGCTGTGATGGCAGTAAGTAAGTGAATCTCAGAACACACACCACTTTTGTGTTTCTAGGGTTGTCAGAACAACTATCACCTTTTAAAGTTCTGAATTAGATTTTGAATCCAGATAAAATCAGTGGTGTAGGGTTCCTGATACATTTCTTTTTAAATGGGTGAGAAATGTACTTGACAAAACAAAGCAGTTTGACTCTAGCTTTTGGTAGCCATATCATCCTGATAGAGCTCATTGGCATGGCGGAGGTGGGGTTAGACCTACTTTGCTGTCACAAGGACCTTTCCCAGCAGAGGCAAAGGAGTATTTTTTCTTCTACATCCACAGTACTCTCTCTTGGCCAAATTCTTTTAAGTTTATCCCAGTTTAAAAGGAGGAGAAAATTGCAAGATGTGGCAGGAAAAAAATTTCTCTTCTTTCCTTAAGTCCAAATAGACTGTATTGTTTTGTGTTACAGACTTCAGTTTTATGTGGCTGTGTCAGCATAACTTTTACCTCCTCAAAAATTGTAGAGGTGGCAAAGAGGCCTTTAGGGGGACCCTTTGGATTGGTCCACTCACTCCTGTTTTGAAGCCTTATCTCATGTAGCCTCCATAAATTCCAACTGGCTCTGTTTGGGAGGGAGTTAGGCAATAAGACATAGGGTTGAAAAGAAAGATCCAGGGGAGCAATTCATCCTTTCAAAAGTAGCCTCCACTTTGGGAAAACTTGTTCCACTAGGAAAGCAAGAATTGAAGATGTTATTGAGTTTTCCAGTTAGTTAGGATCAGTGATTAAGGAGAACCTTCCAGTCTTATGGAGCACTTTGAGCAGGGTCCATTTAACCATCCAAGGATCTATAGGCTGTGGTAATAGATGTTGAATTATTGTAAAATATATATATGTATATATATATATGTACATGTACAGGAACAAAATGTGACCTGAGAAATTGATTCGCTACATCAGTAACATTCTAATTTAGAGTGTTGAAGAATTCTTTCATCATGAAGTTAGAATTTTACTTTGTTTAATAAAAAGTTTGATATTGAGCTTGTAAATAGTACACAGAACTGAAGTCTCACGTCTGAGAAGGTGGTTATAACAAATTTTCATTCGGAAGTAAACTTCATTGTCCTACAAGAGGGAAAAACTGAACATTCCTCTTAATGTAGATGAATGCATAAGCACCCTAGCAGTAGTGAAAACCTTTTTCCACAATGTAGCGTTCTTGCTTGTCCAGCAGTATGTATGAATTTCCTTTGTAAGAAAAAAAAATACTGTATTATGTTGTGAATTGGCATTAAAATTTGTGTATGTTTTTGCATTATTAATTTAATGCAGAGGTATTTTTATACTGTCTTCTATGGTTTTATTATTGTGTGTGTTTTAACGTAATAGATAATAGCCTACATTTAGTTTTCTAAGTTTTACACTGTGATTAAAGGCATCTCCTTTCTGGGAGCTGGTACTGTAAAGCCACGAGGGTAAGGTAAGACAGAATTGGTCATTCTTCTGACGACATAACTGGTTTTGCTTTGTATATTGTTCCCAAGCTCCACTCCACCCCTGAAACGAACTCATCAATAACAGAAATACAAACTATACTTTGGAACATATTTCTGTATTAATATTAAATGTTTTTTTTAATTTGTTGAGTGAAACAATGTGATATTTAAATTTTAAGATTATGTACTGAATTCTTATTTGTAATTTGCTGGCTTGAGATATGCTAAGTAACAGCAAAGTTTGCCATGAGACTTAAGTAAATAATTGGGATGGCGGAGGGGAGGCAAACAGATTTGGGATTTCTTTGATGCTATAGAACTGTAGGTGAGTAAATGCCTCTCTGCCAGTGCAGGTTGGCTTCTTCTCTGCCTCAGTGGCCTAGAGCAGTGGTGTCAAACTCAAATGGAAATGAGCCACTAGATCTTATCTTCAGATCCCTGTGGGCCTCATATTAACTCAGAAAACCACATATTAACATTCTGTTCTATTGTAGTTCTATTTATTTTGCTAAGTATTTCCCAATTACATTTTAATCTGGTTTGGGCTGCACAGTGGTCCTCATGTTTGATACCAAGAAGTTAAAGAACTTGTCTTATATCTCATAGCTAGTCTATATCAGAGGTGTTACTCCAACCCAGGTCTTCATCACTCTGAGGCTGACTATTCCCTACAACATGCTGACTTTGTAGAAAATACTCACCATGAAAATGCTTTCTTGAAATACTTTTTGCTTATGTTTTTTATCAGTACCACATTATTGCACATGTCTGATAATCCTCCCTAATTTTTGTGCCCTGGATGAAAAATAATTGAAGGCAGAAGGCCTCAAAAAACCTTCAAACAGTGATGTAACAGTTGGATCAAATTAATGAATTTTTTTTCATAAAGATTACTTGTTTTAAAGATTTGCCTTCAGTTTTAAAGATTTGAATTTAGTACTAGCCTCATCTTGCTATCTTTCTGTCTCACCACTTTACCCTTACCCAGAAGGAATTGTTTCCTATTTTTCTTGTAGGAGTAAAAAACAAAAATCTTGTCAGGAAACCTGAACTTTAGCATAAGCTTCAACCAAAAAATGTTTTAAAATATTTATCTGGTGCATACTTAATTTTCTGTCAGTAAGTTTTACACAATTGCTATTCTTTCTATCATAACATATTTTGGGAAGGTATGTTAAGATCAGTTGAGAAAGGCGGTTTCTTCTCCCTTTGAAGGAGAGTAGAGAGTTTATCCCTTTAGTCCTAGAACCTGATTGAATCATGGTGCTAAGATCTAAGGAGGTTTGTTTAAAAAATATTTATGTGATACAGGCTCCTCTGTAACAATACTTTGTGAACATATGACCTTAGTAGTACAAATATATAAAATTTCCCTATTTTATCCCACGTATGAGTCTCTTCTGTTGTAGTTTTGTATGTATTTGTTATCCCTCAATAATACTTTGCACTCGGATCAAGTAGCAGGCTCTTGTACTGACTGAAAAAGGAACAAATCTTTCCCTCCTTTTTCACATGAGTCCACTGACTTCCTTGTGAGAGGAGCAGCTGTGATTGAAGAAACCCACTCAGCTTCTGCTTCTCTAAACTGAACAGTAGCTTTGCCTGTAGATCTCTTACTCTTCTGTTTCATTTTCTATTCCCATATCATATGTTCCACAAAAAAACAAGACTGTATTATTGTTATTAAGATTGGCAGTATGTCCTCCTTTTGTTTACTCTGCTGCAGAGAAATTAATTATTTTAGTGATTATTGTGGGAGAGGCATTGCCCTGAGGGCATTGCCCTAAAATTAAAATATTTTGTCTAAGTGCAGTTGCTATTAATAATTCTAAATGTTGGGTTATGAGTACAAACTAATCCAAGCTATTAAAAGCCTTACCATTAAAATGAAAAAACACAAAATCCACATGGAACATTTAGGACTGATTTTTATGGTCTCCTTTTTGAGCCTTTTGCTTGGTCTTTAACAAAGGATAATGAGACCCAGTCTTTCAATAGCAAGTTTGAACATAAGTATATTATGTATGGCTAGTGCCTATAAGAAAACACAAGACTTTTTAGTGTTAAATTAGCAATTTTTAATAAGATTTCATGTAATTGTAGGAAGAATTAGAGGATACAAGAGCTCATGGGAAAACAGCCTTCTTTAAATCTTCATTGTTCTGGCCACACCTTCTAGCTGTTACATATATAAAAGGACTACCCTCTCTACTTCTCTTTTCTCCCCCCTGCCCCCCCAATATAAAATATTTAAAACACACCAGAATCCTTTTTTATATACTGAGTTGATTGAAAAATGACTATCAACTTCTGTCTTGTGTTTACAGAGTTTTCTGAAGATAAAATTAATTATTTCAGTGGTTCTCAATTAAAAGGCATAGGACTAAGTGTCCTCCCTTCCTCCCCCAAGAAAAGATTTGCTGGATGATATTGTGGGTGCCTAATCCACAGTTAGTCTTCATATCTGTTCTTGGAGGACAGTAAATATATTTAACAAATCTCTTTATTTTTATTGGATGGCTGTAAGAGGATTATTAAAGAAAATGCCACATCAAGAGTACATATTTTTATGCAACACTCTTTCTCTTTTCATATGTATATATTGCACACATGCTGATTTGAAATTATTTAAATCTCTTTTGCTCAGACTTTTGTTTTTAAAAAACAAATACAAAAAGCAATTATAATGACTTACGATTCTGAGAAACAATATAGATCTGAGATTAATAATTTAAAAAAAACTTAAATTACTTTTCATTCATTACTTTAATGTGATGAATATGTAGCTAATGCAGTAAGCCTCTAGACATTCTTCCATAAGTATGTGCTGAGTTCAAAACAGGTAGTGATTTAGTAGCATTTACTGTTTGGCCAATTAGCCAACATTACAACCATGATATTTTGAAGAAATTATTAGAAATGTGGTTGCAAAGAACTGTGGTTGAGAAGCAGAAGTTCACTAGCACGATACCCCCTGCACCAGCCAGGTCCAGGCAAGAGGCTTCTATTACCTGCCTGCTGAATCATAATAATAGCATTAGAGGATCTTGTACATAGTTCTTTTTTTTTTTTAAATGTTAGCATACCTGATACTTCATTTTCCCTGACATTCAGAAGAGACCCTGTTATATTCCCTCAAGTTTGCCCTAAAACTTATGCCAAAATCTTTGCTGTGGTGTTTTACTTTACGGTAGGTCATTACTTGTCTTTTCTGTATTAGGAAATAATACTTTTCTTTCATGAATGTTATTATTGATGAAATAAAGCTTGTAATGCTGTTTTGAGTCTTGCTGTGTTGATATGACAAGTATAATATGGTTCCTATATTATGGTTACACTATAGATCTGGTCATATCTTCTGAAATACAGCTGTTACTTGGTAAACACTAACACACAAACTGGTTAGCCTATAATGTAAGGTATTGTTATTCTTGCGCCCTAATACTAGAGTTATAAATTCTGCTTCTTTTCTACTTCATCTTCTTTTTTTTTTTCTTTTGCTTAATTTTGGTTTTTTTCACCTTAATCTTACTGAAAAGTGTGGAAATGTTTTTACTTTGGTTACCTTATTCTTTAGATGTTGTTCCCTTTGAAATTAAATTAAAATTATATCTGCTATTTTTTTAAACCTTTGCTATGAATGTTTACTTTATTGCATGTAATTGTCTTTTTTGAAATACCATTCCTGAGTACTTTTTCAGAATACTAATTCCCAAAAGCTCTTCTCTTATCACCTGAGTTACTGCCTCTTCAGTTTTCGTCATATCTAGTCTTCTAGTATATGCAGTATATGTATCTATAGTATACACATTATGTGTGATTATTTTTTATTTGGTCTAACTTTGTTCAGCCTCTCTGCCCTTTCTTGTTCAAGTGTTATTCTTTTCTCTTATGTCTCTTTATGTGAATTTTTTAGGAAGTTGCCCTCCTCACTTAACATTTCTATTGAGCACACATCATGTTTCTGTTAGGTTCAATTTTGCCTCTTTTTAGGTCAAAAAGTGTTGTTTACTCTCTGCCAGCCTATTTCCTAATATGCCAAGGCTTTTTGAATTTTGTACTGATCTCTTGCTTGTGAGGCAATTGGGGTTAAGTGACTTGCCCAGGGTCACACAGCTAGTAAGTATCAAGTGTCTGAGGCCGGATTTGAACTCAGGTCCTCCTGACTCCAAGGATAGAGCTTTATCCACTGTACCACCTGGCTGCCCCGAAATTTTGTACTAATCTTTATTCCATTTATATGTCCTTCTAAACCTGAACTGAGTTTCAGCATTTTTTTTTTCATCTGAACTCTGTATAATCGAGCACATTTGGCCTCTTTCTCAGTTGCACTCAAATGTTGATGTTTGCTTTTTAGCGGCATGGCATTGCCACATTTGCAGTTACTAAGCACTATTCTGTGTAGGCAGCCACTCACCGTGATCGTTGAGAGGTTCCAAGAAGAACCTAGTTCCTCATATCTTCTGTTAGACTAATAAGCTGACATAAAAAGGTTGTTTGATTTCACATTAATCCATTTTTACTTTCTCTGGGTGGTGTTTATAAAACAGCTTTGTTTAGAAAGCTCATATACTCTGGCAGAGTAGATGCTTATTTCCCTTTCTTCAGGGTTGTCTACTAGCGTCTTCTGTTGTTAAAAATGTCCCCTTCCTCCTTCCCTTCAGCCTGTTAATTCCAGTTAAAATTATATTTCAAAGCTTATGCATACTTTTTTTCTGGGGAAATTGGAAAGGTGTAGGGAATGCTAGTAACTGGCAAAGGACAACTTTATTCCCCCTTATCCTTCCTTAATTTGGCTAGGAATATAGCCTTCCATCAACCAGCATTACCATCTTTTTCTAACTTCTTTTCAGTCCTCCCTGGGAAATGGAACTATCAATATCTTTGGAAACCATTCTATACACTGATGGTCTTTTAAAGTCCTTTAAGTGCTGCATGGGAGGAAATGCTAATCTAATGTTGGTGTCCTTTGAGAGAGACCTAGTTATGTTATATATGTGTCTGTTATCTTATTCTTTTGTTGGATGTGTGTTGGTGAGGTCAATGTGTCACATGCCTTCCTTATATGCAGCTTGATGATGGAATCATCCAATAACAGTTAAAATGCCCTATCTATACTCATTGCTTTAGGTGAGGAATTAAGACTTTTCAAAACCAGACAACCATGGTGTCCATTTGACGGGGTGGGCGGGGAGGGTGGTATAATTTAAACATAGAGCATTTTTTTGGTCATTTTTTTTACTAATTTATTTTTAGTTTTCAACATTTGCTTCCATAAGTTTTTGAGTTTTAAATTTTCTACCCTACCCTCTCTGCCTGCCTCACCAAGATGGCGTTCAATCTGATAAAAGCTCTACATATACATTCCTATTAAACATAATTTCACATAAGTCATCTTGTAAAGAAGAATTAGAAACAGTAGGAGGAACCATAAAAATGAAGAAACAAGGGGCAGGTAGGTGGTGCAGTGGATAGAACACCAGCCCTGGATTCAGGAGGATCTGAGTTCAAACAGACACATAACACTTAGTAGCTGTGTGACCCTGAGCAAGTCACTTAACCCCCTTGCTTAGCCAAAAAAAAAAAAGAAAAGAAAAAAAACAAAACAGAAGGGAAAAAAAGAGCAAATAGTATGCTTTGATCTGCATTCAACCTCCATCGTTCTTTCTGTGGATGTGTGTAACGTTTTCTGTCATGAGACTTTTGGAGATGTCTTAGATCCTTGCATTGCTGAGAAGAGCTAAGTATCAAAGTTAGTCATCGCACAAAACATGGCTGTTACTGTGTACAGTGTTCTCCTGGTTCTGCTCACTTCACTCAGCACCAGTCCATACAAGATTTTCCAGGTTTTTTTGAAGTCCACTTGCTCATGATTTCTTATAGCACAATAATATTCCATTAATTCATATACCACAACTTGTTCAGCCGTTCTGCAATTGGTCATCCCCTCAGTTTCCAATTCTTTGCCACAACAAAAAGAGCTGCTATAAATGTTTTTGTACATGTGGGTCCTTTTCCCATTTTTATGATCTCTTTGGGATATAGCCCTAGAAGTGCTATTGCCAGGTCAAAGGGTATGCACATTTTTATAGCCCTTTGGGCATAGTTTCAAATTGTTCTCCAAAATTATTGAATTAGTTTACAACTATACCAACAATGCATTAGCATTCCTGTTTTCCCACATCTCCAACATTTGTCATTTTCCTGTTTTGTCATGTTAGCCAATCTGATAGGTGTGATGTGGTACCTCAGAGTTGATTTGATTAAGCATACAGCATTTTGAAATTAATCTTCTTAGAATTAAGAACAAGTGTATTCTGGATAAAGATAAACCTCAGTATTTTGGTATCAGATTACACTCATCCTCTCAAAGATATGCATCAGTACATGACTGTGGTTTTGTTTTAAAATCCAAGAATATTCAAAGAAATACGAGTATTTTGTCACTAGCTCATGTCTGTTCTATGCCCTCAGTTGTCCAGGGTACCTGAGACCTTTGAGTTAAAGAAAGGGAGTTCTGAAGAGTTGAGTCACACAAGAAGATTCTTTTGGAAGCCATAATTGGTCAGTTTCCTGCCCAGAAGAAAGCACTTTTATCTAAAGATGTCAATAAAAATTAAGTTCTTCCTGTGCTAAAGCAAAGAATAAGAGAACATAGTGCAAAAAAGAAAGTAGAAAGCAGTAGGAGAGGCAGTGAGAGCAGCTGACTCTAGGGGCTATAGAAGGAAGTTAAGGATGGATGAAGAAAGGCAACGTAGATATAAAGCCGCAGAATTCTGTTGACATTACTGCTTTGCCCAAATAAGCTTTTCCCCTTTATTGTTTACATAGTATTTTATTTTTTCCCAATTACGTATAAAGACAATTTTAATCATTCAGTTTTTTGGAATGTTGAATTCCAAGTTTTCTCCATACCTCCCCCCTCCCTAAGACAGTAAGCAATCTGATATAGGTTGTGTGTGTGTGTGTGTGTGTATATGCAGTCATGTAAAACATTACATATTGGTCATGTTGTGAAAGAAGATACAGACCCAAAGGGGAAAAAACAACAAAAAAAATGAAAAATATTATGCTTCAATGTGCATTAAGACTCCAGTTCTTTTTCTGAATATGAATAGTATTTTTCATCATGAATCCTTTGGAACTGTCTTGGATGTTCTGAGAATAGCTAAGTCATTTACAGTTGATTATCGTACAGTGTTGCTGTTTTACTGTGTGCCACGTTCTTCTGGTTCTGCTCACTTTACGTAAGTTCATGTAAGTCTTTCCAGGTATTTTGAAATCCGTCTGCTTATCATTTCTTATAGCACAATGGTATTCCATCACAATCACATATCACAACTTGTTCAGCCAATTGATGGGCATCCCCTCAATTTTCAATTTTTTGCCACCACAAAAAAACTGCTAAAAATATTTTTGTACAAATAGGTCCTTCTCTTCCCCCCTCCCCCCTTCTTAAAAAATCTCTTTGGGATAGTAGTGGTATTGCTGGATCAAAGGGTGGGCAGAGTTTGATTACCTTTTGGGTATAATTCCAAAATTGTTTTCCAGAATGGTGGAGTCAGTTTACAACTTCACTTAACAGCACATTCACTAACAGTCCCAACTTTCCCACATCCTTGCCAACATTTGTCATTTTCTTTTCTGTCGTATTAGCTAATCTGATTGGTATGAGGTGGTACCTCGAGTTGTTTTAATTTGCATTTTTCTAGTAATGATTTACAGCATTTTTTATATGATTGTAGATAACTTTAATTTGTTTGTCTGAAAACTGTTCATATCCTTTGACCATTTATCCATTGGAGAATGACTTGTATTCTTACAAAATTTGAATCAGTTCTCTTTATATTTGAGAAATGAGGCCTTTATCTGAGACACTTGCTGTTGTAAAGATTGTTTCCCAGCTTTCTCAAGCATTTTTAATAAATGGTATTTGAATCACTAAGTGAATAAAATGAGTCATAGGAGTTAAACAACCAATAACTCTTGAAGTTTTATTATATTAAAGGTAACATCACACTTAAGATATCACACTAAAGATGTGCTGCTTGTCTAAGACAAGACATAAACTTCCAAAGATTTTTCCATAAAAGGATCTGTACTAAAAATAGTGCTAGAATAAGGGTTTAAGGGTGCACTATATGGACTTGCATAAGCCTTCTCAAGAGATCTGGGCTACGCCATTCCAGCTACGCCATTATTCATGTGACCTTTAGGCAAATCATTTCTCCTGTCTGAGCTTCCATCTTTTTAAAGTTCCTTCTAGCCTAACTTTTAG